TGAGCTCGACCTGGGAGGGGCCTCAGCAGCTCGGGTGTTGGTGAAGGAGCAGAGGAGGGAGGCCGTGGCCGGTTTCCTTCTGGCCCCTGTGACCAAACGCCAGGGAGGCCATCACCGTGATAGGAAGAGCGAGAGCAGGAGGTGAGGACTCGGGGAAAGCAGCAGTGAGCTGGCCGTGGGGCAGGCGTGGGCAGGCGTGATGCTGGTGGCTTGGCCCAGGCAGTGACCACAGTGACAGAGGCTGGGATGGGATTGAGGCCCAGCAAGAGGAGGGCAACGTCGTCATTTCTCACTGCCTGGAGTCCACCAGAAATGGAAAGGGATGGCCACCAAGCCTGGACAGGGCATTGCCAGCCTGCTCGGGACGAGATACGAGCCAGCTGGATAGCGGCCAGGAGGGGCGGTGGGCAGGGAGGTCCGACCGGCCCCATCCTCGCCCACAGCCTGCCCCTGCGCTTCTGGGTGAACGTGATCAAAAACCCGCAGTTCGTGTTTGATATCCACAAGAGCAGTATCACGGACGCCTGCCTCTCGGTGGTGGCCCAGACCTTCATGGACTCCTGCTCCACGTCCGAGCACCGGCTGGGCAAAGACTCACCCTCCAACAAGCTGCTCTATGCCAAGGATATTCCCAGCTACAAGAGCTGGGTGGAGAGGTGGGCAGGGGAGGCAAGACCAGGGTCCTGGAGGACGCCAGGAGCTGGGGGGGTGCCAGGCCAGTCAGGGTGGGATTTGGCCTTTGGGGCATCTGCTCACATGAGCTGTGCTGGGCCCCAACAGGTACTACCGGGACATTGCCAAGATGGCATCTATCAGCGAGCAGGACATGTGCGCCTACCTGGCGGAGCAGTCCCGCCTACACGCCGACGACTTCAACGTGCTGAGCGCACTCAGTGAGCTCTCCTTCTACGTCACCAAGTACCGCCAGGAGGTACGTGGCGCCCCTGCAAGCCCGTGTTTGACCCAAAGGCACAGCCCGTGGCGGAGGGTAGGAAGCTTGGTGGGCAACAGAGCGCCACAAGGAGACGAGAGGACAGCAGGGACCTGGAGCTGGTCTCTTGGGTTGCTTATGGTCCTCGTCCGGGCCAGGCCCAGGGCTGGCCCAGTGACATCCGCTGTGGAGGCTCTGAGTGACCCAGGACAGAAGCGACTTGTTGGGGCACATGGTTCCAGCTGGGGATTGGGAGGGTGGGGTGAGGGAGGGACAAGGCCACAGGGTAATGGGGCAGCCACTCCCGGGCTCCTGGGCTGGGGACAGTGCTTTTGAAGTTGCCTGTTGGCACATTTAAACCTGGGAGCTGGAAGTACTCATCCACGGACGCAGGGGCGGGGGGTAGAGAGAGAAGCGGCCCGAGGCCGGAGCCCATGGGCCCTGAGAGGGCCAGAGGGCACAGGGACTAGCGGCCGTGGGGAAGGAGGAAACCCCAGAGTGGAGGGTGGCATCCTGGAACGCGACTGAGGTCCCCAGGTGTCGGGGGGAGCTGTCAGACGCTGCTGAGGGCTCCAGTCCGAGGAACCCTCTCTGGTTTGACAGTGAGGTGCCGGTGGCCTGGACCAGAGGGATCTGGGTAGAGGCGGAAGTGCTAGGAGGGACGGGGAAGTGAGGAATCAGTGACAGAAAGTCGACATGACCTTGGTGAGGGGTGGCACTCTGGCTGTGAAGAGGAGGAAGGGCAAGTGCTCTGGTTGGAGGGGACCTGGGGTCCGGAGACACCGGTGGGTTGTGAAGATCAGGGCCCTTCTGGTGCTCATGGGGGCTGTCAGCACGAGGGGGCGCTGAGGCCCGTGGGAGAGAAGGGCCCGCCAGGGGGCGTGGGCTGTGCAGGGGGGCGGCTTCCCCGCCCTGCAGCCTTGCTCCAGGGAGCCCTTCCCCCCAGATTCTGAGCGCCCTGGACCAAGACGCCGCTTGTCGCAAGCACAAGTTGCGCCAGAAGCTGGAACAAATCATTGGCCTTTTGTCCGGCAACAGCTGAGGGCGGCGCGGTCGGGTGAGGAGGGGCTTCCCGGGCCTGAGCTGTGTTCTGCCAAGGGGGGTGGCTCATGCCTGGCCTCCAGGCCGAGACACGGAGAGGTCCACAGGGGAGGCGCCGGACCAATATGCCCCCAGCACCCCTGGGCCCCCTTCACTAGTGCCTTGCTTTGGGCCCTGGGCAGGGGGCGGGGAGAGACAGGACCAAGGCCACCACCCCAGCAGCAGCAATACACCCACCCTCCTGCCCTGGTGCCCAGGTGTGGCGACGGCCCCTCCCCTCCTCCCTGGTCTCACCCCGACCACCTATTTATTTAATTTAACTCCACCTCACTGTTTCCATGTCAATGTGTGTCTCTCCTGGGATGTTGCCAACCTCACCCACCTCCCTCTCCACCTGTCCTGAGTCCTTAGTAACATTTCCAG